CTCCCATGCAGGTGCAGGGCCCAAGCACTTGGGCCATCCTCCACTGCCCTCGCAGGCCACAGCAGAGAGCTGTACTGGAAGAGCAGCAACCGGAACTAGAACCTGGCGCCCATATGGGATGCCAGCGCCCTAGGCGGAGGATTAACCAAGTGAGCCCTGATGCTATCTCTTAAGAAAAACTGTATCACATGATTTTAATTTGTGATGGTCATTTGTATGTTCATCTCGTGGTCTTAAGGAACATACATTACTTGGGAAAGTAGTGCCTTCCCCTTGATTTGGGCATTTGGCCAGAAACGGGAAATTCTGTCCTGCTCGTACTTCCTCTTGGGCACGTGAAATGTGTGTAGGTTATCTTTTTCTCATTGCTTCCCTTGTATATTTGTATTTTCTAATTGATTGTTAATATATTTGCATATTATTCCCTTCAATATTTTATTAATAGCCTGACTTTCATTTAGACATTAATTCAAGAGTACTTTTTTTTGTTGTTGTTCCCAAAGGTGTAGCAGGTATAGTAGGAATCACTAGTGGGAGATACCTTGGTTTGTATTTTCACTAACTAGCTTTGTATACTTTTGGCAGAACATTTGGTGTTAATTTAAGTAATTATAAGAGAGGGCTTGAATAAATTATCTTAAGACTTTTCTCTAGAAACTTCTTTGACCATATGTGTAACATGATAAGTATGAAAAACGTCCAGTGAGAAAATAAGGAAACAATATTTAATGCCTTGCTGCAATCTGAAAGGCTTATGTGTGTTAAAGGTCTTTAAATTATGAATACTTGGGACCAGATTGTAAGATACAGAAAATATGTGTTTTCTTTTATAGATAATTATTTTTTCGTACTGTTTTAAAATGAAGCCAAAATGCCAGTAAGACCGGATCTCCAGGTATGTAGGCCTAGACCAAATGGAAGTATTATAATTCTTAAAATCACTTTTTTTTGCATATAGGTAGTCAGTGCTATCATTTTAGCAATGATAAAGCTTGTAAGTTATAATGAAATGGTCAAGTGTAGAGTAATTTAAATATATTTTTTCATTTATTCAATAGGTATGTTTTTACTAGCTATATTAAGAACATAAAGTGTCAAAAGATCCTGTTTCTTCATATATACACATCTTTTACACTGAAAAAAATTATGTACTCATTGATTAATGTGCTATATATGCCTGTACATTAATAGCAAGTTTTAAAAATTCTAGGATGCTTGCATTTAGACAGAGTAGGTTTTAATATCTACTCACCAAATGTGTATAGTGACCATTCCATGAAAATTCTCCAAATGAAGTTGTACTTTAATATCAGAAATGGTAAATTTTATAAAGTTTATAAATATTACAGAAGGATGATATTGTCATGTTAGTTGAATGGTTTCTAAAAGGTGGTTTTGCCCGTGTTCATGTATCTGTCTTTACTAAAACTTCATTAAGAACTTGATGCTCTGATATGCTGAGGATTTTTCCATGATATTAAGTATTACTTTAATATAGTATTTTATTTTTAATCAAGTTTTGTTTTGCTTTTGACATGATGATAACTTTAGTAATAAAAGATGAATTAATACTAGTAATTCCTTTCCTATCTAGAGTTTTGGTATTATGAAAGCAACTTCATCTCTAACTCAGTTATTCCAAATTTAATAGCAGACAGTATTTTTAGAAGATAAATGATATTTTATGAACTCATTTGAATTTTCATATAAAAACAATTCTCAACTGACTAGCTTTTATGAGATGACTAATTTTGGTTTTGACTCAATATATATGCCATTAATTATATTTCTCTAGCAGTTGGAAAAATGCATCGATGATGCTTTAAGAAAACATGACTTCAAACCTTTGAAAATGCTTTTACAAGTTGATAATTGTGAAAATGTGAAGATTAACTGCAGCAATCAGTTTTTCTACAAGTTGGATGACCTTATATGCAGGGTAAATACTTTCACTTAGTGGTTTTTAAAAATTACTAGGTAGGATTCTATTTTCTAGGAAGAAGTACTCCAATAGAAAACAATAACAGCTTGAACAATCTTGAGTACAGTAGTTAAAAGTGATTTTTTTACAAAAAAAAATTTTGAGGTGTCTCAACACATTGGACTCTATTTACACAGTAAATCCACAAAAAGCTGTGTTTATATAGGGTTACTGTTACTAACTCTTATACAAGCTAGGGTAAAGGAGTTTACCTGTTTGAAGTTTAAATAACTTCATCCACTTTTTTTTTTTTAAGATTTTTTTTTTTTTTGACAGGCAGAGTGGACAGTGAGAGAGACAGAGAGAAAGGTCTTCCTTTGCCGTTGGTTCACCCTCCAATGGCCGCCACGGCCGGCGCGCTGCGGCCGGCACACCGTGCTGATCCGAAGCCAGGAGCCAGGTGCTTCTCCTGGTCTCCCATGGGGTGCAGGGCCCAAAGCACCTGGGCCATCTTCCACTGCACTCCCTGGCCACAGCAGAGGGCTGGCCTGGGAAGAGGGGCACCGGGACAGAATCCCGGCGCCTCAACCGGGACTAGAACCCGGTGTGCCAGCGCCGCTAGGCGGAGGATTAGCCTAGTGAGCCGCGGCGCCGGCAAGATTTATTTTTGAAAGTCAAGAGTTACACAGAGAGAAGGAGAGGCAGAGAGAGGTCTTCCATCTACTGGTTCACTCCTCCCAGTTGGCCGCAACAGCTGGGGCTGCACCAATCCTGAGCCAGGAGCTTCCTCCGGGTGTTCCATGCAGGCACAGGGGTTCAAGGACTTGGACCATCTTCCACTGCTTTCCCAAGCCATAGCAGAGAGCTGGATGGGAAGTGGAGCAGCTGTGACTAGAACCATCGTCCATATGGGATGCAGGCAATGCAGGCGGCGGCTTTACCCGCTGTGCCACAGTGCCGGCCCAGATCTACTTTTAAAAACAAAAAAAATTTCCGGCGCCGTGGCTCACTAGGCTAATCCTCCACCCTCGGTGCTGGCACTCCGGGTTCTAGTTCCGGTTGCTCCTCTTCCAGTCCAGCTCTCTGCTGTGGCCGGGGAGTGCAGTGGAGGATGGTCCAAGTGCTTGGGCCCTGTACCCACATGGGAGACCAGGAGGAAGCACCCCGCTCCTGGCTTCGGATAGGCGCAGTGCACTGGCTGTAGCAGCCATTTGGGGGGTGAACCAATGGAAGGAAGACCTTTCTCTCTGTCTCTCTCAGTCTAACTCTGCCTGTCAAAATAAATAAAAAAACCTATCAAAATAACCTTGATATTAGGACGATTACGCTTGTTGATTCCTAAAATAAAGCAAAAAAAAAAGTACCCCAAATCTGCATTTGATTCATTGAATATAAAACATTTTTATGTACTAGAAAGTGATTATTGATTATCTCTTCCAGTCTCTGAGATTGTCTATGAATCTAAAAAAATTGAATACAAATTGCATCAGTTGATTAAATACATGTAACATTTTAGAATGGAATGTAACTGATTCACTGTATCAAAGGCTAAAGTTTCTTGAATTTACATAGATCTTAATTTAGCCCTGAATTTGTTATCCACTGGCTTAGGAGGTGTTGGAAAGTTGCTTTTTATGAATTATACTTTCATCCTTTGCAGTACAGAGATGATGATAATGACTATTAGATTTGTGAGGATTAGAAATATGTGTATAAAACTGCGAACATGCATAGTCCACACTATTTTGTGTTTGCAGACATTTAAATGTATACTTTTCATTTTAGGAACTTAATAAAAAGGATATCCAAATGGTTTCAACCATTTTGATTTGTGTTGAAAGATGTGTCAAAAATATCAGCATATTGGGACAATCTGGACTTCTAACTATGATAGAACAAGGACAAGTCGAAAAGATAAGTATAGAATATGTAACATAATCATGTGAGGAAAATATAAAATATATGCATTCTAATAAAATGTTTCAAACTAAATAACTTCGGGAATTTTAAATAAAACATAGAGGAAAATAAATGTTTATAACTTCTGGTATGTATTTCAAAGATTAAAAATATGAAGGAAACTCTACATAGCGTTCTTGATAATCATATAAATTTAAGGTAACAAGACTCCCTGAAGCGTTTCCATGATTTTATTCTCTTAAGCTCTTCTTAATTACTGTCAAACTTTATTTTGTCTTTATGTTGTTTATTGTCTGTTGCACATGCTAGAATGCAGGATATTAATTTTTGTCTGTTCTGTTCATTGCTTTCTAACCAGCACCTAGGGCAGTACCTGGGACATAGTATGTACTTAGATACTTGAAATAAGGAAAATACAAAAAATTTCCAAAAAGTAATGATACTGAAGTAATCTTAAGTTTTGAGGATGATTTATTTTCATTGGTGTGATACGTATTCTTGACCTAGGAATTTGAAGGGTCTTCTACATAGAATTAACATGAATTTTGTCTATTTTCATCTTAAACCATGGGAAAATTTAGTGAGTTAACAAAGATGTTTTAAAAACAAACAATTTGATATACTGTAATTTTATTTTTGATGTCTTTATTAAGATTACTATTTATGCAAAAGTAAATACATTCTTACAGCTACTAAAATGATATACAAAGTTATTAATGTATTACTTTTATTTTTATACATGGCTGCCTGGTTTGAAAAATCCAAGGAGATTATTCTGAGTCAAGGAAATTCAAAAGATGAAGATCTTATAAATATGATAGAAGATTTGTTTGATCTTTTGATGGTAAAATCACATTGTTTAACTTATGTTGTAAAGCATGTGCTTATTTAAGAAACAATTTACATTCTCTGTACCCTGAGTCTAAAAGTCACTAGTAGATTGATTATTGACTTGGTTGTATTAGTCTATTCAGATTGTAGAAAGCATTTATACAATTAATATAATTGCATGGTTAGTTAATAAAAGTTAAATAATAAGACATTAATTAAAATGTAATCTGTATTTCAGTATCATTTTAGTTATTTATAGCAGAAGATGGTAAATTATAAAATATTCAATTTTTTCAGGTCATTTATGACTTCAGTGATAAAGGTATAGTAAATATTTTCTTTGATTTTTAAAGATTTATTTACTTATTTAAAAGGCAGAGTGACAGAAGGAGACAGAGAAAGAGATCTTCCATCCACTATTTCACTCCCCAAATGACTGCAGCATCCAGGGTGGGGCCATGCAGAAGCCAGGAGTCCAGAACTCCATCTGGGTCTCCCACATGGGTGGCAGGGGCCCAAGTATTTGGGCCATTTGGTGCTGCCTTCCCAGGCACATTTGTAGGAAGCTGGATCAGAAGCAGAGGAACTGGGAGTCTCTGAACTGGCACTCTGAAATGTGCTGCTGGAGTTGCATGTGGCAGTTTAACCTGCTGCACCACAATGCCAGTCCTTAGACATTATGTCTCTGTTAGAACAATAGTTTGTTAGCTTTTGTATAAATTTACAATTCTCATAGTATTGTCCTGATTATATGAGCTCATTATCTAATTCAGGGATCAAGAAACTTTGTTTTGTTTTTGTAAAGAGCCGTACAGTATTTTAGACTGCAAACCAAGAGAAGAAAAATGAGATTAATCTGTAGATCCTTATAAAAAGAAAGAACAAATTTCTTAATGTTTTATTGATGAATTGAAAATATAGTAGTTGATTACAGGTGTTTTGTTACACAGATCTAATGGGAATGGTATTCCTCTTTGTGGGGATAATGTTTCACTTGAAATTCAAACTTAGTGTTCTCTGTTTTCAAAGTTGCTTAATGCTTATAATGAGATTTTATGTAATTAAAATGTCTTTGAATTTTAACACATTCAAAAATCTTTTTATCCTAGATAATGCAAATAATACCTAGCTAATGATAAGTCAGAAGCATGAGTAATTGAGCATGTTCATCACTTAGAAGGCTTTAATAGGATTCTGTTATGGTCTTTTTAAAATATGTATATTTAGAATGTCATTGCATTGCAGAATAGAAGGTTACATGGAAGCTCTTCAGTTGCACAATTTGATGGATTTTGAAATAAGGAGGTTTCCTTTGCACTCAAATTTTTAAAACAATGGATCTGTAGTTGGAGCTTGGAAGAAAAAGTATCTTTTAAATTTGTATGGAAGTGGAGATGACATGTCTTGTTAAACTTGTGACAGTCTGGGAAGTGTATAAAGCAACTTGGCTTAGGTTGCTGTTCAAAATAACTGTAGTTATCTAAATGACTTAAGTAACTTTACCACATAAATACTATTTTGTCATGTAATTTGGGGTTCAAATCATTAAGCAACATCATCTACTCTGCAGCCAAATCTAACTACTGGAGTGGTTCGGTATTCAAAATAATGGTCATGGACTGTTCAAGAAAAATTTTGGTCATGTCCCTGAGTGTCAAAGTCACAATAAAACTTCACCACTGCTAAGCCATTGAACTTCTGTGTTAGAGGTCAAGTTGGGATACTCAGTTTTCTGTTTCTGACAAAAATTCCTGTAATGGACAGTTGCTAACTTCATGAGAGTGAACGAAGCTCACCTTTGGCCCTGTTGGCTCTATAAAACAAAGTCAAATGTTTTTCACAGAGCACCTGCTGATGAATAATACAACCAGACAAAAACAGACAGTGAGTTGGATTTGGTTAGTGTGCCATGGCTTGTAAACTGGTCTTGGTCTAATGGAACAAAGTTTCATTAATCAGCTGAGAATGCAGAATGTGTTACAACTTAACTGTGTTACACACCTGTGGTTAGCAACTGTATTGCACCACACAGTTAGATCCAAGTTATTTTTTCTCTGTGTTGGTTGAGGAAGGCTTCTCAGGATTGGTGATTGAGGCCTGTGAATTGTTTATAAATAAATATTTGTTGCCTTCAAAGCAAAACAATTTTAAACAAATTGTCAGTTAATGGTACCATTTTCAAAGAATTTTTTTTTACAGTTAACATGGGAGAAAAAAACAGACCTAAAGAACCAGCCATTGTAAAGTGACTTGACTTTTAAAAGTAAATTGTATCTTTTTTATCTGAGTAATTTTTTTTTTCATTTCAATGCAGTCTCTTTGGGAACTCACACTTAGGCTGCTGCAGTATTTTCATTGTTTCAAAATATTTTAAAATTTTTCATTGTGAAATAGAATGTAGCAAATTCTTTATTTTTAGTACTGATAAAACTTCATCTTGTGGAAACGTTAGTTTAAAAATAGGACAAATTATTTATAGCTTTATGAGAGAAAGATAGGTTGATAGTGTTTAGTGAGTATAAGAATTTTTGAGATATGACTAAAAGCTAATTAGACCGCTGGCGCTGTGGCTCACTAGGGTAATCCTCCGCCAGCACCTTGGGTTCTAGTCCTGGGTAGAGCACCAGATTCTGTCCCAGTTGCCCCTCTTCCAGTCCAGCTCTCTGCTGTGGCCCGGGAAGACAGTGGAGGATGGTCCAAGTGCTTGGGCCCTGCACTTGCATGGGAGACCAGGAGGAAGCACCTGGCTCCTGGCTTCAGATCAGCGCAGCGTGCTGGCGGTGGTGGCCATTTGAGAGTGAACCAATGGAAGGAAGGAAGACCTTTCTGTGTGTCTAACTCTGCCTGTCCGGAAAAAAAAAGAAAAGAAAAAAAGAAAAAGAAACTAATTAGACCAGTTTTTGTAAAAGCCTGAAAATAAGTTTCTACTTGTGATTTATGTTTGTTATCTAAAAATATTCCCTATGTGCCTGAAATGAGACGATGGAACTGGAGTTATTCATGCTTTCTGATGTCAGTGGGCCACCTTCAAAACTGTGCTAGTATATTCTTTCCATTAATTCATATAAGGAAAATTACCATTTAGAAGGTTTAAAAATCAACATTTATCAATAATTTACCACTTTTATTCAGGTAAAAGGCATATAATAGAAAGTTTCATACCTCGCATTTGTGCCCTGGTTATTGATGCAAGAGTGAATATTTGTATTCAGCAGGAGGTAAGGTCATCTGTTTGATTATCTTGTTTTTAAATATAAAAAGTAAAAAAAGTGAAGAAAATGTGATGGCAGTTCATCAGAATAAAGAATTATATCTCGGGCTAAATTTTTTATATATTTCTGTTTTGATGATTCATTGACATAATGAATTTATTTTCTAAGCATTTATTACAATTTCCTATAGACTTATGTATACATGCAGCTGATATAAAAAGAATGTATACCAACCAGACATTATGGCTTCTTAAACATTAAGGTGTTGAATGTATATAAATGTGTACATGTGTATAACCATAGAAACAGCAGTAAGATAACATCCTTTGGCTTCCTTAGCTCTTATAGTAGCGTATTATTAAATGTGTTGCAGAGAGTATAAATGTTTTAGATACTAGAATCTTATTATATACTACTTTAGATAGTCTGTGGTTTGTGCTACTTTGTAATTCACAATTGTATATGCTATATTGTTTCCTCCATTCTGCTTCATTCTCTTTAAAACAGTGATTAAGAAAGTCTTCTAATACTACTTAATTTTACACTTTTTTTCTTTCCTAGATTCTAAAAAAAATGAATGCTATGCTTGACAAAATACCTCAGGATGCCAGAAAAGTATTCTGTGACCAAGAAATGTCAATTCTCATGTAATAATTTATACTATATTGCTATTAATTAGTTCAAGAATTTAAAGAATATTTTGTAAGGCAAAAGGCAAACCATGAGTTTGTATTAGTAGCTGAAACTGAAACTCTGTAGATTTTAATATAGTTAAGTAGATACCTATATTTTTCTGCAGAAGTCACTGATACTAGCCAATTGTAAGTTTCAGTGAAGTTTTTCTTTACTCCAAACACACAGGCTTTCTGTCTAATTGATACTAGTTCAGTTTGTAATCTGTTACTTTAATCCACAGGAGTAGTATGGGAGAAAGAATTTTAGGTGTTGGAGGTAAGATGCCCTTTCAAAATCTGAAATTATTACAAATTTAGCAAAAGTATTTAATATCCCATTAATAAAAATGATTTTAGCATTATAATGTTAAGATTGTGAGGAAACTATAAATTGTGTTTGTACAATTAAGCAACTAAATAAAAATGAAAGTTATCCTTAGGACAAGTGATTTGTCAAGACAATAAGATGTAGATAAATATAATTTGTACCTAATGGTAGACTTAATAATAACTTAATTTTTAAATAGATCTAAATTACTTGTATCCAGAAACTGTTCAAATGGCATTTTGTAAAATTTTGTAAAATTTCACATTGGTAATGTGAAATAATAGGTCTGCAGCCAGCATTGTGGCGTAGCGAGTAAAGCTGCAGCCTGTGATGCAGGCATCCACTAGGGGCACCAGTTTGTGTCTGGCTGCTCTACTTCAGATCTAGCTCCCTGCTAATGGCCTGGGAAGAGCAGAGAAGATACCCCAAGTGTTTGAGCCTCTGCCACCCATGTGTGAGATCTGGATAAAACTCCTGGTTTCTTTCTGGCCCAGTGGGTATCTATCTCTCTCTCTCTCTGTCTCCATGTAACTGTCACTTTGAAAATAAATTCTTAAACAAATTAGGAGGTCTGAGAATACTGGGTTTTATGTATTACTTTTAAACACTATTTATTAAAAATAAATTATTTTTCCTAAGTTTTCTATGAGCAAATTTTGATGTAATGATCTACATACAGATTAAAGCATGGCTTAATGTATTCTGGGATAGCTGTAAATCTCATGTCACATGAAAAGAAAAACTAATATATACACTAGGGTATGAGTTATTTTGCAATTCAGAACTCTAATTGTTGGCCGGCGCCGCGGCTCACTAGGCTAATCCTCCGCCTAGCGGCGCCGGCACACCGGGTTCTAGTCCCGGTCGGGGCGCCGGATTCTGTCCCGGCTGCCCCTCTTCCAGGCCAGCCCTCTGCTGTGGCCAGGGAGTGCAGTGGAGGATGGCCCAGGTGCTTGGGCCCTGCACCCCATGGGAGACCAGGAAAAGCACCTGGCTCCTGGCTCCTGCCATCGGATCAGCGCGGTGCGCCGGCCGCGGCGGCCATTGGAGGGTGAACCAACGGCAAAGGAAGACCTTTCTCTGTCTCTCTCTCTCACTGTCCACTCTGCCTGTCAAAAAAAAAACAAAAAAAAAACTCTAATTGTAATAATGAAATGGCAGAGTCTTTGATTATTCAGGGTTCTATTTTAAATATTTTTTAAAGTTTCATTCTATTTTATCATTTGGGCTATATTCCTACAATGATGAGATATATCCATATGAAGAATAAAAAAAGCTGAGTAAATAACATTAATATTTTCCTAATTCTTATTCTAAATACTTTATATAAATATATGGACTTTAATAAACTGTTATAATTTCAAATAATACACCATTCATATTTTTATAGATTATGACTTACAGGTGGGCATTGTAGAAGCGTTATGTAGAATGACCACAGAAAAGCAAAGGCAGGACTTGGCATGTCAGTGGTTTTCAGTGGATTTTGTTGTTACTGCATTTAAAGAAATTAAAGACTCTGAATTTGAAACAGTAAGTATTATTTTTTTTAAAAAAGCTACTGATGTATTTAAAATTTTTTTGATTTTTAAAAATCTTTCTTTTTAAAATTAGGATTGTAGGACATTTCTCAACCTTGTAAATGGCATGCTTGGAGATAACAGAAGGTAAACTTAATACAATAAACCACTTATTGATAGAGCTCAAAAAGGAGCCCTAGTTGTGAACTTTATGGTTTAACTTTATTTGTTCTAAGTGTAAAATTTGCATATATATAATTAAAATCTTACCATAATATCATCTATATTTAATAAATTACTATATTGGTAATGTGAAATAATAGTTGACCGGCCTTGTTTTGTTTTGTCCTTTGTAGAAAAAATGTGTTCTTACATATATTAATAATTTGAAAGACCAAAATTGGTTTACTGTATTTCAAAGTTGCATATGAATTATTACTTAGTGTTCAAGGAATAATAAAATTAGTTATACATCTTTCTTTAAACTGCCTACTACGTTCACATACTGCATTTGAAACATGTAGCAAACCATCTTCCTTGATAATTAACAATGTAAGTAGGATCTGAGGTTACTTAAGCTCAGAAATGAGCATGGACGTATATGTCATAAATTTGAGTTTTGATAATGACAGAACAGTATTTGCATTATCTAGCACCTTATAGTGTTTAGAACACATTTATCAGATGAATGAGTTAATATTTACTTAATAAGATTACAAAAGATAGGGTAAGGGTTCAGTGTAAGGAGTCATATTGCTTAAATTTGAATCATAGATTCCTTTCTTCCTACTATAACATTATGAAAATTAATCAATCTTGTTTGTCTCCTTACCTATAATACAGAAATATTAATACCAGCCTCATATGTTCATTGGGAAAATTTAATGAGATAATATGCTAAGTTTTTAAAATACTATCTGAGGAAGAATTCCATGAATTTCGCCATTTTTAGTAGCAGAATCACTTTTTTTCTTATAAGTTCTGTGAAAACTTCATTGTATTAATATTATAAGCTAAAATTGGAATCTGCTCATTTGATTGTAGAAAAACATTGTGGTTCAATCACTCTAGTTAGAAAGATGCACTGAATAGCATTCTTGAAGTAATATGCTTTTCTTTACATAAATTTCCATTAAACATTTATTTTAAACAGTAACAAAGAAGGAGATATGATTGTATTTAAGTTGTTATGGCTCTTATTTGATTTCCTTTTGATTTTTAGGCATGATTTCTGTGGCCAGACAAGATTGCCCTTTGAAGGCTTAATTTTTTCTTAAACTACTTTTTTTATTTCAGAGTCTTTACATTTCCTTGTTTGGCAGCATTTCTTGATAAATATGAGGTAAGTCTTAAATTTAATACATTTTAGTTATTGGATGAATTTTGATGCAAGAGTCAAGTGAATTGATAACATTAAAATTAGTAATTATTAGATCATAAATATAGCTGGTCTAGTATTCTGTATATGACAGTAACACCAGGGGAAATTTTATGGAACAGCATTACCTGTAGCCAAGAATAACAGATTTAAAGCTAGTTGTCCAGATTTTCTCCTGTTTATTATTCAAGCCCATCAATTTATTCAGACTAGTATTTTCAGCCCTTACTAGCACCTGGAATATTTGTGATAGCTTGAAGCTAGCTAATTTCTGTATAAAATATTGAAATTTGTTTCCTTTTATTGTTTGTAAATTTACTTAAATGTTGCACGTGTCCTGTTTCTTCAACTTTTAACTATACTTGTAAAAAAGATTCAAGGAGGGGCCGGTGCCATGGCTGACTTGGTTAATCCTCCACCTCCGTTGCCGGCATCCCATATGGGCACTGGTTCTCCTTGCGTGGAAGACCAGGAGGAAGCACGTGGCTCCTGCCTTTGGATCAGCACAGTGCCGGCCTTAGCGGCCATTTGCGGGGTGGACCAATGGAAGGAAGACCTTTCTCTCTGTCTCTCTCACTGTCTTAACTCTATCTGTCAAATAAAAAATTAAAAGATTCAAGGAACACTTTGTTTTATGGAATACAGTGTTGCTGGATTCTAGAATTAAAAACAACCAGTTAAAATCAACAAACTAAATTTTTCTAATTATGTGCTTGGATAGATCTGGTGAACATGAAGGGACCTGTAGGAGACTACTTATAACTCCCAAGACCCCTTGAGGAATACAGGAGTGGTTCCACTGACCCCTTTGAAGTCCCCTGTCTTCCTCACAGAGCCCCAAGGTTAAGTCCTTCTCAGGCAGGACTCTGCTCTTTGCATTGAGCCCACGATCTCTTTGGCCTTTTGGGATGGCTGTGACCATATCATGAGAGAGCATCTGACTTTTGGCCTGTAGTTGTGGCAACTCTACCATGGGGAAAAAATAAGAGATTATCAACTTTGAGTATATCCTGATGAGAATTTTCTGTTGTAATTTTTAAAAGCATAATAATATGTTTGCTTCTTTAGCTGAAGATACCATCAGATGAAAAACTTGAGGAATTTTGGATTGATTTTAATATTGGGAGCCAAACTCTATCTTTCTACGTTGCTGGAGATGATGATGTAAGCTTTATTCCCTCTGTATGCTATAAGTATATGAGGATTTTTCAGAAAGTTTATGGAAAAATGGCATGAAAAGAACTTTATTTTGGTGAAAAAATTTGAGAAAAAATTCAAGGAGTCTTCAAAAAATTGATAGAAAAATATATATTATGAGAAAACTATGCATGGATTTCAGAGTTTTTTGAACCAAAATAGACATCTAATTCAGTTTTTCCTGAACACTGAAGTACCCTTGTATATGTATATATAAATTTTTAAATTTAGAGTATGAATATATATTTTTCTAGCCATCTTTTAAATTGATTTCAGTGCTAGATCTTGTAGTTCCGATTAGCATAACCAAGCTAACTGGAAGTAAAAATTATTTTTGCTGTTTTATTAACAGAAAATTAATGCTAAATTTTTAGCATTTAAGTTTTTCAAATATATCACATGTTAATGACAAGTAAAATTTTACATGGAAAAAATGAATGGACTTTATAAAATATAGCAATTACTCAAGTACACAGGTGGTCACTCTGTTACATATACCATTAACAGGGGCCGGCGCCATGGCTCACTTGGTTAATCCTCCGCCTGCTGCACCGGCATCCCCTATGGGCACTGGATTCTAGTCCCAGTTGCTCCTCTTCCAGTCCAGCTCTCTGCTGTGGCCCAGGAAGGCAGTGGAGGATGGCCCAAGTCCTTGGGCCCTGCACCTGCATGGGAGACCAGGAGGAAGCACCTGGCTCCTGGCTTCGGATTGGCATAGCTCCAGCCGTGGCGGCCATTTGAGGGGTGAACCAACGGAAGGAAGACCTTTCTCTCTGTCTCTCTCTCTAACTCTGTCAAATAAAAAATATATATATATATATACCATTAATAGACAATGATATAAATGTTCTACTTCATAAAATTGTCTCTAAAGTAGAGAGGAATTGATTCCTACTGTAGCATTTGGAAGTAATTTTTAGTTCTTTCATGCCATATCATAGCTGTGCTTACAATTCTCAGTTGGCATATTTCTTCCTGAGGAAAATCTTTGAGCCATTGTTTCTTAATAGCGACTACCTCATTTTTGGTACATCAGCCTACTTCTGACTCAAATTCTGCAGTCACTTTGCCAAATTCTGAGTGAGAGTCAGCACTTGGTAATCTGGTTAAGGTTGGTGATCATATAATAAAGCTTTTAGTCTTTTCAGTCTTGTAGAGTCCTGCCTTTTCTTTTGAGCAAACTCTGGATGAACAACAGTGAACTATCTCAGGATTTCTGTATTCTTTAAAATTTTAGAGTACTTTTCTTAGAATGCTCAATTAAATTGAGTTCTAAAGACTAGTTCTGATTCTCAGGCACATTAATACGTTTCTCCTGTATGGCTTCTTAGGAGGATTAGGGGTATTTTTAACTGAATTTTCTTTCAGGAACTTGAATTTCATTTTGGAAGAAGAGAATAGTATTGATGTTGTCCCTGTCTTCATTCAGCCTCGGCTTACTGGATAATTTAGACAAAAAATAAAGTTACACTATAGTATTCTACGTAAGAGAAAATCAAATGCATTCAAGTATATTAAATAGTGTTTTCAATACTAATCAAGATGCTGGGAAATTCTTCTTCCCAAAAATATATTTAAAATCTCTCCAGTGGCCGGCGCCGTGGCTCACTAAGCTAATCCTCTGCCTGCAACACCAGCACCCTGGGTTCTAGTCCCGATCAGGGTGCCGGATTCTGTCCCAGTTGCTCCTCTTCCAGTCCAGCTCTCTACTGTTGCCCGGGAGTGCAGTGGAGGATGGCCCAGGTCCTTGGGCCCTGCACCCCATGGGAGACCAGGAGAAGCACCTGGCTTTGGATCGGCACAGCACGCCGGCCGCAGCAGCCACTGGGGGGTAAACCAAAGGAAAAGGAAGACCTTTCTCTCTCTCTCTCTTTCACTGTCCACTCTGCCTGTCAAAAAAAAAAAAAAAATCTCTCCATAATAGCAGTGGCATGTACTTCCTGAGTTCCTTCTTTTTTAAATAGTTACCTTTTTAAAAAAATTATTTGAAAGGCAGAGTGACAAGAGAGGGAGAAACAAAGAAATCTTCTATCAGCTGATTCACTTTCCAAGTGGCCTCAGCAGCAGAAGCGGAATCAGGCCAAATCCAGGAACCTGGAGCTCCATGCAGGTCTCCAACATGAATGACAAGAGCCTGAGTACTTGGGCCATCATCTGTTTGCACAGGCTCATAACAGGCAAGTGGTTACGTGGCAGCCAGCATGTGAACCAGTGCTCTGACTTGGGATGCTAGTGTTGTGGGCAGCAGCTTAACCTGCTGTGCTGTCACACTGGTTCCTCCTGTGTATAGAAACCAGTCTCCACAGAGTAACTGCTTAAACCTTTCTTTTGTGTCTTTAATGTGGCATCCCAAACTATTTATGACTTGGCCCCTGGCTATTTCTTTGATATTTCATAGCATTCTCAATGATAACTGTGTTCCAGTCTTTTTTTTTTTTTTTTCTTAATTCCCGTGACACAGATCATGATTATGCTCACCTCAGGTCTTTCTGCTTCGTAGATCTGCTGCTTAGAACACCTAATCTGCATTCGTGAGAATGCCTGGAAAGGGCAAGCATTTTAGCTGATTATTCATGTGCATGCAGTGCTTAGCCCTAACAGCATTCAGGTGATCAGCATTGTGATTTCAGGCCCTCGTAGCAGATTTGTGTACTGAGGAAAGAATAGGACTTCACAAAATGTTTCAAAGGAAAAATAAAAGGAGTTGGTAACCTTTTTAGAAAGGATAACCTTTAATAATGATTAACAGGCATTATTTTTGGTTAAGAATAAGAAACCAAATAATATTGATGTAGGCAATGAATGTATTTTTAATCCAGCTTCTTTCTACAGAAGTAGAAATACTAAGAGACTGGTAACATGCAGAATAGGAACACAGTTTATTTAGCAGTGAGGGAATAAACATACATTCATGCATGTGTGGACCACCCTGCATAGAGAGATACCCAACATGAGTGGGCTAAGGTGTTGACAGTAAATGAGGAAAAGTAAATGAGGAAAGAGGAAAACCTGAACACTACCTCTAAATGAGAGGTCTGTCTTGTCTACTGTGGGAAGAGAGAACACAGGAGTACTATATTGGTGTGCATTCCATGGTGTAAAGAGAGAAAATAAGAGTGGTACTTTGCAGCAGAGTCCATGGTGGAAAGAGAGCTCTCCTGCCTCCCACCAAGCCTTTTATAATTGGATATGCAAACAGGTTGGGGGGTGAGCACGTGCCCTGGTACCAGAATTATGGATGCATCAGGAGAATGTATTAAGTTGATAAATAGCATCATTTTGCATGCATAGAAGAGTCTAGTTTGCCTAAAAAAATTTTTTAAAGATTTCTTTGCTTATTTGAATGACAGAGTTACACAGAAAGGAGAGACAGATCTTCCATCCTCTGATTCCCTCCTCAAATGGCTGCAGTGGCTGGGGCTGGACCTGGGCCGTGTGGAAGCCAGGAGCTTCTTCCAGGTCTCCCCTGTGGGTTCAGGGGCCCAAGCACTTGGACTATCCTCCACTGCTTTCCCAGGAGCATTAGCAGGGATCTGGATCAGAAGTGGAGCAGCCTGTAGTCTATTCAGTGTCCATATGCAATGCTGGCATCTCAGATGGCAGCTTCACCTGCTATGCCAGCCCCCAGTCTAAACTTTAGTTATAGCAAAGCACTGTCATTTCCTTTTAAAAAGTGAACAGATAGATCTGATTAACATAGCAAGAAACGTATTATATAAATGGATTACTTAGTAATATTAGTAAACAAAAACTTTCTAAATTTTTGTAACTTAGAAATTGGTGTTTAAAGATGTTTTAAGTCAAGAAAAATTAATGTTTTGATCAAAACCTGTTTTTTAAATTTAAGGATCATCAATGGGAGGCAGTTACTGTGCCTGAGGAAAAAGTACAAATATACAACATTGAAGGTATTAGCTTTTTTTTAATAATTCTTAATTCTTACATGGAAAAATGTTGATATTTCTGTGGGATGACAAAATGCTAGTGAGTAACAAATCATTATTTTCAGTTCACATTCATAATTCCTCAAATTCTGTGAAACTCAACTTCTCCTGCCCCATCTCCCAGCTCTCTACTTTATTCATTTCTTTGTTTATCAAGTCAAGAACCCATGATGAATTTTTCCTCCCTCTCATCAGTATGTTTATGGCTCATGCCCATCCATTTCACTTGTTGGGTTAAATCCAAATATTAAATTTCTCTGCTCCTATAAATGAAATTGAATAACGCCGACAGACACAATCAAATAACTTAGCAGATGGAATCATTACAGATTCAGGCATTAAGACATTTTAGTTATTTCAGTAGCCGTGTAGTGATATTTCATTATGATTTTTTATTTGCATTTTCCTAATCACCAGTGATTTCATGTGCTTATTGACCTCCTATATATCTGTGAAGTGATGCTTAAATATTTTGTTCATTTTTGATGGAATTTTTTTTATTGACTTTTAGGAGTTCTTACATATCATGATGTCTACAAACATAGTTTTTGTGTTTTTTGGTTTTTTGTTTTAAGATTTATTTATGGGGCCAGCGTCTGCAGTGCCCGCATCCCATATGGGTACTGGTTCGAGTCCCAGCTGCTCCACTTCCAATCCACCTCTCTGCTATGGCCTGGGAAAGCAGTAGAAGATGGCCCAAGACCTTGGGCCCCTGTACCCACGTGGGAGAACCGGAGGAGGCTTCTAACTCCTGGCTTCAGATGAGCACAGCTCCAGCCATTGTGGCTATTTGAGGAATGAACCAGCAGATGGAGGACTTCTCTCTGCCTCTCCTTTGTGTAACTCTTGACTTTCAAATAAATAAATCTTAAAAAAAAATTATTTATTTGAAAAGGAGAGAGAAAGAGAGGTCTTCTATCCACTGGTTCAATCCCTAGATGACCGCAATGGCCAGAGCTGAGTCTATCTGAAGCCAGGAGCTTCTTCCAGGTCTCACATGCAGCTGCAGGGGCCCAAGGACCAGGGTCGTCCTCTACTGCTTTCCAAGGCCATAGCAGAGAGCTGGATTGGAAGTGGAGCAGCCAGGACTTGAACCGGCGCCCATATGGGATGATGGCACTGCAGGCAGCGGCTTTACCTGCTGTGCCACAACACCAGCCCCTAAACATACAGTTTACTTCTTTCTATTCCTTATATAATTACTGCCCCCCCCATTCCTCCCTCCATTGCTGTATTGTTATGGATAGAATTATGGATAGAACCTTCGGTACAATATTTAATAGAAATGGTAGAAGTGGACATCTTGGCCTACTTCCTAATCTTAACTTGGGAGGAAGAGCATTCATCATTTTACTATTAGATATGTTAGCTGAAGGTTTTTATAGCTTTTCATCAGATTGATGAAACCAAGTTAATAAACAATGTCCTTTGACCCAAAGTTCTTTGAATTTCTTATCTATCCATTCTTTCTCATACTGCACACCCAGGCAATCATTGATTTCTTCACTGTAGAGAAGCTTACATTTTCTAGAATTTATAAAAATGGAATCATGTAGCAATTTTTGTCTATGTTCTTAACTTTTTTGCATGTAGAATAGTTTATTTTTATTTCTGGGTGGCATTGTATTATATAGGTATACTTCAATTTGATTATCCATTTACCTGTTGATGAGTATTTGGAGTATCCCAGTTTTTAGCTGTTATATAAATGCTGCTGTAAACATTCATGTAAACAGAAGAAATGTATCTGTTCTTCTTGAAGGCTAATTTCTGAGTTTTCCATTCACATCCTTCAAGTCTTTGCTCTATCAATTCATATCTGTGAATTTAAGAGAAATAGTTGAATAGATTGCTATACCTAGAAATATAGCAATTATATGAAATTGGGTTTTTGACTTCTTAAAATCAATAAAATAGATTATTCATACATGTTCAAGGAATATTTTGTCAAGAATCTGTTAGTGTCTAGAACTTATTTGGGACTCTTACCTCATTCAGGACACTAAAGGTAAATTGGCTTGTTTGCATAGGTAGTTAATACTAGAACTGATTAAGCCCTCAATTCTAAAAGTTTGATTTTGATTCAAATAATTTGAATTGATATTTGCTTTTCATAGTTATAGTATATTCATAGAACAGTATCATAGAAATTCATGTAAACTAATCAGTGTGATTTGATTTGTGCACAGTGAGAGAATCAAAGAAGCTACTGAATATAATTCTGAAAAATATAGTAAAAATTAGTAAAAGAGAAGGAAGAGAATTGCTTTTGTATTTTGATGCATCATTAGAAATCGGTGATGTAACTCAAAAAATTTTTGGTGCAAATAAAAATAGGGTAAGTTTTTAAACTCTTTAATAAATACTTAATGATTTTCGTAATTCTGGACACTTAGTCTGGTGCTGGAAGTTTCATTGCTTTTTTTCCTTTTAGAATTCTTGAAGTAACCTGTAGGTTTTGGTACTGTTGGATAACCATCCTCAGCGTGCTAAGCACCTGTTAGAGTTCTCAGAGGACAGAAGTCAGCAGCAGCTGCTTGAAAATCCCTGCAGGTTGTTCTAGAAGTGAGATGCACTGAAGGGCTATTTTCAGTGCCTTAGACACTGTGAGAGTTAGACAATGACAGCCTCCAAAGAAGTAAATAACTGGCCTAGTGCAAATGAATTTCGGAAATTGAAGAAAGACTGCTCATTAAGAGTCAGGTTTTTGAAGGAAGGCATTACTGTGGAGATGGGCTTTAAGTTACTGTTTGAGAATCTCGGGTCACAGTTCAAGTGATGGTGTGGGGACATACTCTGTAGACAAGTTCGTGTAATATAAAAGACATGTTGAAGAACAGCAGAAGGTATTTGAGGGCTGTTAAAAAAGGTCATGGAAAGAAGAGGCAGGCAATTAGCCTGATGTTTTAAGATGCCTTACATCTCACATCTGAGAGCTTGAGGTACATGGCCAGCTCTGGCTCCTGACTCCAACTTCCTGCTAATGCAGAGTGTAGGAGGCGCAGTGGTGGCTCAGGTAACTGCATTCCTGCCACCCTTGTGGGAGAACTGGAATGAGTTCCTGGCTCCCAACCATTTGGGGTCATCTGGGCAATAAATGAGTGGATGGGAGTGTATTTCTCTCTCTCTCCCTCTACCTCCCTCTCTCTCTCTGCCCCCCCCTTTAAAGATTTATTTGTTTATTTGAAAGTCAGAATTACAGAGAGATGGAGAGGCAGAGAGAGAGAGAGAGAGAGGTCTTCCATCCACTGGTTCACTCCCAAATTGGCCACAACAGCTGGGGCTGCACCAATCCCGAGTCAGGAGCTTCTTCCAGGTCTCCCATGTGGGTGCAGGGGCCCAAGACCTTGGGCCGTCTTCTACTGCTTTCCCAGGTCATATCAGAAAGCTGGATTAGAAGTGGAGCAGCCGGGACTCAAACCAGCGCTCATATGGGATGCTGGCACTGGAGGCAGCGGCTTTACCCACTATGCCACTTCACTGGTCTCCCTCTCTTCCTCCCTCCCTCCCTCCCTCTTTCTGCCCCCTCTTTCTGCCTCTCAAAAGTTTTAAAGTTTCATAGGGAAAAAAAGTATACTTTGGTGCAGAAAATTGAAATTCATGGGGTCAATGTAATGGCTAAAGCCACTGCTTGTGATGCTGGCATCCCATTGGGTGCAGTTGGTGGGTGCCCCAACTGCTCCACTTGCTCCCTGCTAATGGCGTGGGAAAAAGCAGTGGAGGACTGCCCAAGTATTTATGTCTCTGCTGCCCATGTGGGAGGCCTGGAGGAAGCTGCTGGCTTCAGCCTGGCCCGGCACTGGCGGCTGCGGCCATCTGAGGAGTGAGTCGAGCAGATAGGATGTCTCTGTCCCTCTGTCTCTGACTCCAGCTTTCAGAATAGATACATCTTAAAGAAAATGAAGTTCATGCAGCTTATTTGTAGTACTTACTCTCCATGAACTTTTGAAGATTTCTTGTATTTGCAAAGTGATTTGGGATAAATTGGAAATTTTGGAAGAAAGGTAGGAAATAAGTGCATGAAATGGAAAGAAAATGAAAATTATATCACTTTGAATTCATTTAATTTTAGGAATTTACCAGAAAGCAAGGTATTTCCATTGCAAAAACATCAGTGCATGTACTTTTTGATGCAAGTGGATCACAGGTATATCTCTGACTTAACCAATTGTTATTTTTTTTTTTTTTGGTACACAAATGTTTACTGTTAGGCCAAGTTTTACCCTAAATAATAGCAAAATGATAAAGTTGATCTCTGAAAGGGAATATCTAAAAAACAAATGATCTTATAAACAGAACTCTAATGAACTGTATATGATTTTTAAACATGTTCATAGTTAATTTTAGTAGTTATTAATACCAATTTTGATACTTTAAAACTTAAAAGTATGTCATTCTATTAATGATAAAACATTTATGTCTGTTAACATTTGAAAAAGTGGACACTTTTTCTTGGATCATTTTGAAATAATTATGACAGTCCATAAATAGAGAAAATTAACATTTGTAAATATGAGGTGAGTAGGAGCTTCATTAATAAGTCCAGTGATTTTTAAGAACTTCTGTGTTTTCAGTTTTAAGTACTTTTTCCAACTTCTTTAACAGATTTTAGTACCAGAAAGTCAACTCTCATCAGTTGAAGAAGAATTTGTTTTTTTAAAAGAAAAATCTAATGCTCAAAAGGAATTTGCTAAACCTACAACGTATATAAAAAACAATAATCAAGAGAACAGAAAACGTAGTCTGCTTGGGGTAAATATGATAAAATGTTTGTATTACTACCATGGATCAAATTATTGCTATATATAAGTACAGAAAGAAAGAATTTAAGATTTACCAATAACCTTAATTCAACACATTTCAGAGATTTTGCCTCCGCCTTTTACAAATGCAAACGAGATAGTGTTTTAGCAAACTTTGTACACATATTAGGAGCTAGGGGTTAGGACAAGGTGTACTGTACTTATAAATTAAAAATTAGAGATAGAGGGAGAATAACTACTGCTTTTTTGCATTATTCCTTTGCATTTGGCTACAATGTACAAGCAGATTACAAATTTATAATATCATTTGCATAAAGAAAGCAAAGCATTCACTTCCTTTCTCACTCGTCTTCCTGCTTCATTGAAGACCTCCTGTAGGCCATATCCTGTACAAGCATTTCTCAGCCTTTTCCGTCCTTTGCTGTGATATTTGACACATGACATTGTTGACAACGTTCTCAAAGTCCTCTCTTTCTTTGACTTTGGTTTTAGTATATTCTCTTCCTTCCTACATTAGAGATTTTTTCCCCACCTTTTATTAGGTTTGTTCCAAAAATCAAGCTTGAGCTTCAGTGTCTTTCAAGTGTATAATTGGAGCTCTTAAAAGTACCAGACTTCAAAGTTCTGTAGCTGAATTTCACCAGTGTTGTGGTACAGCAACTTAAGTTCTATAGCTAAATTTCTTTAAAAAAAAAAATCTATTTGAAAGTCAGTTACACAGAAAGAGGAGAGCCAGAGAGGGCTTCCATCTGCTGGTTCACTCCCCAGTTGGCCGCAGTGGCTGGAGCTGCACCGATCCAGAGCCAGGAGCCTCTTCCGGGTCTCCTACGTGGGTGCAGGGGCCCAAGGACTTGAGCCATCTTCTGCTATCCCAGGGCATAGCAGAGAGCTGGATCAGAAGTGGAGCAGCTGGGAATCGAACAGGCGCCCATATGGGATGCCAGCACTGCAGGCAGCAGTTTTACCTGCTATGCCACAGCGCAGGCCCTGCTAAATTTCTTCTTGTTCTGTTATTTCCTTTTGCATGTCTTTTCAAATTCTGTCCTGAAGTCTCGCCTAAGACACTTTGTCTTTTGCCTCAGTTCTATACCTGCCTCCATACTGCAGTAGTAACTACCGTTCATTTTTCTGGTGATACCATTGATTCCAGGCTCTTCTCCATATTTAAGGACCAAGGTGCTTAGATTGTTCTTTCATAGTATCTCGTATCCTTTCCTGTTCCCTCTACCATTACTCATCTTAGCATACCGAGGATAATATATTAGCATCGTAACTGGTCTTTGACTCTGTTGCTTCATCCTGTGAGCTGCTTTTGTCATACCAGTGATTTTTTTTTCATAAATATCAGTATTCAGATAGCCTTCTTTCGCTCAAAATCTTCATGATCTTCATGTTTTCCCCACTGACTCAAAGAATTTAATTCAGTTTTTTTTTTTTTCTTTGACAGGCAAAGTAGACAGAGAGAGAGAGAAAGGTCTTCCTTTTGCTGTTGGTTCACCCTCCAATGGCCGCCGCGGCCGGTGCACCGCAGCTGGCGCATCGCGCTGATCCGAAGGCAGGAGCCAGGTGCTTCTCCTGGTCTCCCATGGGGTGCAGGGCCCAAGCACTTGGGCCATCCTCCACTGCACTCCCGGGCCACAGCAGAGAGCTGGCCTGGAAGAGGGGCAACCGGGACAGAATCCGGTGCCCTGACCGGGACTAGAACCCCGTGTGCCGGCACCGCAGGCGGAGGATTAGCCTATTGAGCCGCAGCGCCGGCCAATTCAGTTCTATAATTTAAGTCTTTTTTGTTTAAAATCGTAGTATAGTGGGGTTTTTTTTAGATTTATTTATTTGAAAGTTACACAGAGAGGAGAGGCAGAGAATCTTCCATCGCTGATTCTCTCCCCAACTGACTATAATGGCTGGAGCTGCGCCAATCCGGAGCCAGGAGCTTCTTTTGGGTCTCCCACGCAGTTGCAGGGGCTCAAGGACTTGAGCCATCTTCTACTACTTTCCCAAACCATAGCAGAGAGCTGGATCGGAAGTGGAGCAGCCGGGATTTAACCCAATGCCCATATGGGATTCCGGCTCTGCAGGCGGTGCCTTTACCCGCTGCACCACAGCGGCGGCCCTATATAGTTTCCACTTTAGTAGGGTCAGTCGTTTTGCATGCCATGCTCATTCTTGCCTCTTGATGATATACATTGTTTGTTGCTTTTTTTTCCCCTTAACCTTTCTAGTGTATGCATATATTTATAAGTCTTGGTTCATTTTCCTTTCTTCATGGAGTTTTCTGATTATTTCAGTTTTCACTAATCGTTTAACATTTGGCTACTATTACTCTCATAGGCTCTTAGACATTTTGGTGCATTTCTGCTACTCATTTTCTCCTTTAGTTTTGAGTCCTCAGTTAAATTAAAAATGTTTTATTTCACCTAGACAATTAGATCATAATAGTTAGCTTTAATGTCTTATCAATTATGTTGAGTGCTTATTAATATCTAGATTCTTAGACCCTGCCTTAAACTTGTTGAATCATAAATAGTGGAGAGGGGCCAGTGCTGTAGCATAGTGGGTAAAGCCACTTGTGGGGAGCAACTCGGACTATACTGTTACTGGAATTAAGACTTATTCTATGCATCTGCTCTCCCACAATGTGGTGCTGGGAGAGGAGCATACAGCTTCTACCCAGCTGCCTCTCACCAACTTGACAAGCTGCAAGAGCCGCTCCTGATTGGAGGAGAGCGGCGCGCTCGGCATGTGGGTAGCAGAGCACGGATTGGTGGAGAGGACTATATAGGAGGAGAGAGACGGCATGGTGGTGTGGGTTGGTTGGAGAGTGCGTTGGAGAGTTCGCGGGGAAGTTCGTTACTTCGTTCTTTCTCATTTCTCTCTACTCATTCTTGCTTTGGGAGTTTGCTGTTTACTTATTCTTACTTTACTATAGAAAGGACTTGTAAAAAAAGGGAACAACAAGCGTCCGGTCCGGTGCGGCTCCTCCGCGTGCGGAGGAGCAGCAAATGGTGCCGTGACTCGGATATGAAGCCTAGGCAGGGTTTAGTGTCATTCCTCCATGAAGAGGGGGAGCGACATAATGGTGCCGTGACTCGGATAGGAAACCTAGGAGGGAAGAAACGGGAAGAAGTGGGAAATTACCGGAGAGAGATTAGCAAAGAGCCTAGGGAAAAGCCGGACAGAAAAGGTGCCGGAAGAAGCTATCGAAAGCCTAGGCATAGACTCGGATACGGACTGTGGGAAAGAAGTTAGGATTTAAAGTGAAAGCAAGAAGAAACTTAGACTCAGATATGGACTGCAGGTTGAAAGTGAAAGTGAAACCTATAAGAAACTTAGACTTGGATACGGACTGTGGGGAGAGGCCAGGAGAAATGAGGGAGGAATATTGTTGGAAGAAAACTTAGGGAAACATACCGGGTAGAGAAAAATGTTAGGGAGGATGAAGCCGCGAGTGCAGGCCGAGGCGGAGATGTAAGCCAGCTTGGAATTCTTCAAGTCAGCCCGGGGAGCAAAAGGAGAAAATCTGGAACCAGAGGCAGAGACGTGGGCCGCCAGGTTGGAATTCGCCAGGTTAGTCCGGGGAACTTGGACTGAATGCCGGTGGTGGCGGAAACGTAAGCTACGCTGTGTGATTCGTGGAAGCCACCGCGTGCAGAGAGAGCACGGGGCGTGAATAGATAGGGAACGCGGGGCTGGCGCGAGGCCGTGGTGCGGGCACGAAGTGCGTGGAGAGCGCAGAGTGTGCGCGCGAAGCCGAGCCGCGCAGAGCCGGGAAGCCGCACAGATGAGAGAAGCGCGGGCTGAAGCGGCGCAAAGCCGGGAAGCCGCCGCGGGGCGTGAGGCGCCGAGAAGCAGCCTCAGGGCGGGCGCCAGGAAGCCGCGAAGATAAAGAAACAGAAGTTTAGAAGTAAAATGAGAGAAATAGGAATGCTGGCAGAAAGAAGAATAGGAGAATAGGAATGCCCGGAGATAGAGAAATAGA